ATTTCATGGGTGTCCTCTGACTCACACGTTAGAATGGCGTAAGCCTCTTCACACTTATGACAATTTTTTTTGTTCACCAGCCTAACACCAACTCCTTCAATCCACCCCCTAATTCTCAATTTCACATAAAGAGAACCATACAACCAAACTCAAAGAAGAAAACAAATGGGTGATCACAGTATAAAACACTGCAATTAGCAAGGGTTAATTTTTAAAATAAATTAAAAAAATAAATTAAAAACTAGAGTAAACAAAAAGGTCAAGTTGATCAGACAGAACACTCTGGTCAGAGAAAAGTACAGTGGAAAAGAACTCAGGAAGAGTTAAAAAAAGGAAAATTGGTTGAACAAAAAAAGGCCAAATTTTAACAGAAGAAGCCAAAAATCTTAAAAGTACTACTGTCGTGATCAAATCACTCCCACTGTGTTCAGCAGTGAAAAGATTGAAAACAGAACATTTAACTGTTAGAACATATTGAACACTGTATCAATGATCCTTAAGCATCAGTTGCCTTAGATCAAAGTGAGAAAAGAGGCAGATTACGTCACAGCCAATGTTTCAGTTCGTAGGCTTTGATATAGTATAAGTGATCGCAGTGACACGTTGTCACTGCCATCACATGACTCCGATCATCTCTAACCGGCTGCCAGGGAACTGCCTGGGTTAGCAAGCAGTTCCCCCTATCGAACCTGGCATGGTGAGTATCACTGCAGAGGAGTATGGGACAAGGACAGGTCATTATGCCGTAACATTCTGAAAGCCTGTGCTTTCCAGGATAAAATGACACATCCTGACACCGGCAACGAACTAAAAAAAACTCTTTCATTATTATCTTTCATTAAAATAATAAAAGTTTAAAAATGAGAAGTCAAAATTTGATGACAGATGTGCTTTAACTTTCCACTGGATGGCTGCATCACGAGGGAGTCGGTATTTTCATCACATTTGGATAAAAGAGTTGGCTGTGTCTTTGTTAGTTAGAGTTAGAGTCTGTTAGAGTCATTTCTGAATAAGTTTTTGCTGGAATATGGGTTTTGCAGGGCGTGAGAATTGGCTCCAATAAAGTTTTGCAAGTAATTGACAAGATTATTGTTTGAAGTATATTGGGGGAGTCTTACGACTTCAAAGAAGTTATTATTACTGCTGAATACTTGCAGATCAACCCACACATCATTAGAATTGTTTTAAATATTTTGCCTACAAGAAAATGTAACATAAAGTTAAAGTAGATGAAATTAGTAGTGGCTTGGTGAACCTTACTGATCAGATAAAAATATTCTGAGTTTTGAATTTAAACATTAACCTTCCTTTAGCCTTTGTGTTTTTAACTGTATTTATAAATAATATGATAGATTTATAGATTACTAGATTAGAAATGCTAGGGGGTGCGGAAGTGTTGTTCCATTTTACCTCAGTGCTAGCATTATTATTTGCTGTCTGTCTACTATGGAACAGGCTACTATGACTCATTATTGGAAGAGAAGATTCTGAACTTTGCTTAGTGTTTAAATGAGCTTATTTGAGTAGGTTTCTGCTCAGGTCTTGTATCTGTCAACTTTACTTTTTCTATCAGTCATTTGCCGTTAGTTGGCCCACTGCAAAACTGTAACTTGCCCTGGAATATTTTGGAGTCATATAATTACTACTAATAATGATAACTGTAGCGGAGCTGCAAAACTAAAACACAAAATCTCAGCTGGGATCCTCAGGAGTTGGAAGAAAAACCGCTGGTCAGTGAATATAGCCTATTCCCCCCAGTAACTGGACGACACACAGTTCTGGGAGTCAACTTTATTTGGAAACACATGGCTTTTTATGCAGGGCCCTTAGCATGGGGTCTCCACAACAACATTACAGTTTTTTTTTTTTTTTTTACCAAGAGTCTCTGGGACGGAGAGATAATTGAGCTCTAATCTGGATAATTCAATTATCTCTCAGTAATATGAAATACATTCAATAATGTAAATCACCCCCAAAACATTAAAAAAATTACATGAACCCAACAAGTCCGATACCCACAAAAAGCCCTGGTCTGAGCGCCCAACATATCCAAAAAACACTCAGATCTCAGGTGAAATTAAATTGCCATTCGGGAGAAGTTTTGACCGGCTGGTGATGCCCCGACCACGAGGTGATGCCCCAAAAGAGTTCCAGAGAATTCAGGGCAGTGGCCAGTCTCTGTTAGGGGATTCCTGCATGAACACTGATGAATGCTCATCCCTGGCTCCTAAGTACCCAATGCTCTCCCCAGTCGGTAGTTCCTATCTCCCGAACGTGGTTCGTGTAGATGGTCGGGAAAGTGTACAGGCAGCAGTACCATCCTTGCCGGGGCTCGTGAGTGCGTATAGCTGAAAAATGTTCCACATGCTCAACAACCAAGTACCGCTGCCCTTTTTTTGGGAGCCAAAATGGCCACCATGCACTGGACCACATGCATTTGGTTATATGAACGGCAGCCAGCCAGGGAAAGCACTCAAGTTAATCCTTTAATTGCGGTTAACAGCCAGGGGTGGTCGGTGTTCTGAGCCAATAAAGAGACCACACCTCATGGTCTGAATAGTGATTTTGAACTTTGTCATTTTTTATAATCACTTTTTAAGCAAATTTATAAATATATGTATATATATATATATATATATAATATATATATATTAGCAATAATTTTATGATTATGGATATTTTTTATAATGATGTCAATATATAAGTTTTTCCAAAAATACTACATTTTAAAATAGGTTTACGGTGTCTTATTGTGGTCTCAGAAGTAAACCATTATGGATTTATGTGTTAAGCTTTTTCCCCCTTTCTCTATTCTTATCCTATATTTCTGTGTCTATTTTTGAGTATAACTATACATGGGACTTATATAGACAGTTGATGTGGACAGATTAGAAGCGGAGGAGGCGTGGCATGAAGTTCGTTGTGTCTACCTCTGTCTGACTGATTTCCCTGCAGTTTACACTATATTAGCATTTTTGTCATTATAGGACATTATACAGTAGGGCAAGTGACCAATTGTTTGCGCTTTTTTGTTCTATTTGCAGAGAATATGAGGGACATTCACACAGAGGTGGTAGCAGCTCACTTGTACAATATAACTTTTATTCATTGTTTAAGCACCTGTAACACAAACTTACCATTCTGCAAGATGAATTATATGTATGTTTTCTTAGGATAGTGGTGGACAGTGACTATGTGAGTATTTTGAAGGGTCAGTCCATTTGAGTTTCCAGGTATTGTAATAAAATGCAGCCTTCACATTTCTATGTCCAGTGATGCTTCAATGATTATCTTCCTCTAAGGAGGACATACCTCCACTCAGACACACAGAGATATCCTTCCACTGACAGCAAGGATAACAGTAATACCATTATCTACCCTTTCACTGCCTTGCAATGCCAGTCAGACATGCCCTCCTATATCTTTTTTTGATCATCACATGGAATTGGCATGCGCAGTATGTGTCCACAATGGTCAACATCACAAGTGTGACTTAAAGGGACAGCATAGTCACCAAACTTCAGCCTAACAACAGTTTTTGTGTAGAGATCGTGCTTCTGACGTTTCACTGTTCAATTTCTTGCCATTTAGGAGTTAATTCATTTTTATTTCTGTTTTTTTGTTTACCTTCCCTGGCTGTGACTGACACAGCCTCCATGAAAAAAAATGGTTTCACTTTTAATCAGATGTAACTGATTTTAAAAGTTGTTTATCTCCTGCTCTGTAAATTTAACTTTAATCACATATAGGAGGCTCCTGCAGGATCTAAAAGGCTATTAACAGAGCCGGAGATAAGAAGTTCTAAATTAAACAGATTGTGCAATAAATGAAGTATAAACATTAGATGACTGTTTACAGGAAGTGTTTAACACGGCTTTGTAAGTCACATGCAGGAAGGTGAGCCTTGGCCTTTATAAACAAAGTGATTTAATAAAGCATTGAGACTGAAGGGGCCTGATCTATACACCAAAACTGCTTAATTAAATTAAAGTTGTTTTGGTGACTATAGCGGCCCTTTAAAGATCTCTTCCTTCTAATCTTCCTACAGTAGACGTGTCTACCTGTTCCAGACACACTTGGGATGTCAATATTGTTCCCTTGAAACATAAGTTGCCCATTGGAGCAGATTGATGTAATTTCTTTACATGCTTGGTTGCTTTATAATTACTTATGTTTCGATAGTGAAGCATGACAGCATTCCCTACTATTAGTATTCACACTTATTCCTCTGCCTATGCTTTTCTTAGCTGTTATTTTAATGCATTATTAGATTTGACAGTTTAACTGTAGCCGATGTTCTGTTTATGGTGGTGTCTTTTCACAATATGCAAATAATGATGTGTCATATTCGCAGAAAGTAGATCACAATTTTGTATATTATTGGCACAAAACACAGTGTTGTTCTTATGCCTATTTTGTTCAAGATTCATACCTTTTTTTAATTTAAAATTGGTGGTTAAAAGGAACACACATATATATTTTGAATTTATTTAGTAGATACACACTCAAACTAAAATATTTCATGTGTTTCTTTCCTTTCTACCTTTTTTTTTTTTTGGGGGTATATATGAAAACAAAAAGCTTGCAAAAGCTGCAGGCCAGCTATCTGAAGCCTTTGCAAGCTCTCCCCCTCTTTTCCTGGGTACAGACGTGTGTCTGAGAAATTACGAGTAGGAGGCTTCTTTGTGCGCGCCTGATCGGGGCTTTCCAATGCTTCTCAATGAGAAAGGAGGTAGGAAGGCTTGCTCTTTGGAGCTGACAGAAAACTCCTGACTCCCTGAGTGATATCCATGGAGGTTTTTCTGTCCCCAATTATAAAATTGCTTATTTTTACTGAAATTGGAGCTTTGATAAACAGTCAAAAAAAATGACAGAATCCAGCCACATAAAACACTTCAGCAAGCTATGTGTATGAAGTTTTCATTTAAAGTGAATGTATCTTTACCTATATGATTTGTTGAAAAATTCTATTGATTCAGAAATAAAATCACATAAGAAAACCATATAGTACAAAACCACATTAATTCAGTTAATGACAAGGCACAAAATAATTATTTCATTGATCTGAATAAAGCAATACTAGATATGAGTGCCACCCAGTGGTGATTTATTTTAGAACGGACGTAGAATTCAGTAAACAGAAGGCGGCTTATGAATAAGGCACATGAGCAAACATCAAGTGTTATAAACGATGACTCCAAAGCTGACAGCCACAAATGGAAACTTTTCAGCAAACTGTATTGGACAGAGACAAGGGACACACATCTAAGCACTAAACCACCACATTAAGAAGAACTGGTTTTGTCACTTAAAGGACCACTATAGGCACCCAGACCACTTCAGCTTAATGAAGTGGTCTGGGTGCCAGGTCCCTCTAGGATTAACCCTTTCTGCTGTAAACATAGCAGTGTAAGAGAAACTGCTATGTTTACCTATGGGTTAATCCAGCCTCTAATGGCTGTCTCATTGACCGCCACAAGAGGCACTTCTCACTGTGATTTTCACAGTGAGAAGATGCCAGCGTCCATAGGAAAGCATTGAGAATGCTTTCCTATGGACTGGCTGAATGCACGCGCGGCTCTTGCTGCGCATGCGCAGTCAGCCGATGACGACCGAAGGAGGAGGAGAGTCCCCACCGCCGAGGGAGACCGGTGATGGAGAAAGGTGAGTGTTTAACCCCCCTTCCAGCCCGGCGGGAGTGGGAGCCTTAGGGTGCCCACTATAGTGCCAGGAAAACGAGTTTGTTTTCCTGGCACTATAGTGGTCCTTTAAACTAGCCCTTTCATAATTTCACCTACGTGTCACAAAAGCTTTTTCTAAAACTCCTCTCCAATTAATACCATTGGAGACACTCGTCTTCAAAGTTCCAAAAAAAACCACTAATTATAGTGGCATTTGTTACCTGGTTTACCAAGCTAAGGGACCAGGTCAGCCGTTTGTTTCCTGTAAATAAACAGCTGCATAAAATGTTTCATATTTGGAGAATATCAAAAAAGGGAAGAATAATTGGAAGCAGCTGGCGTTTGTAAAATAGTTTTACTAATTATCTTCGTAGCAACAGATGCCGTTAGGCTTTGTGTCATCACTAGAGAGTGTTAAAGATTTTATTAATGTTTTATTTTTATGGTGGATACCTATAGTTGTTTTTACAAAATGAGACGACAAAGCAGTGTAATAACTTTAATGAAACAAAAACTGCATTGGGAATGACAGTTAGGAAATAAGGGATCACAAAGCAATCATTGCAATTAAACAATTTTGAAAACGTGTTTTAGTTCTTCCTACTCCACTTTCACATAAAAAGCTCTCAACCTACAGCTTGTACGCAAACAATAATGTATCAAAAACTGAAATTTAGAAATTGCATCTCCTCAGACAGGACAGATTGATGTTGCTTTGTTGGTATGCAGGCTATTAGCCTGGAGGCCAACCCAGCTGACGTCCGCCAAGTACATGCAGGTGAACGTGGTACACAGACTGCCCACCATCTGGGCCCTCGTTAAGAATCAGTCGGTAGCCTCGTGTCAGGCCCAATTCAGCAGCACACTTCTTGCCAACTATCATCAGGTGTCCAAGAAGCTATAAAATAAGATAATACTGTGTAATGTTTCCATTGCATAATTTGTTGCATTACTGAGAATTATGGAGCAAACACGAATTTTAAAGCAAGAGTTATTTCATCTAACTCTCTGGAGGACAGACTGGAACAACAATACCATTTAGATAAATATGTAATCTGCACCAGTTGTGGATTGACAAGAGATCAGGGAACTGAGAAGGGCCTTTAAAATACTCTGGTAAAACCCAGCATTGATTTAATTCAGTAACCTCCCAATCTATAAAAATTAGATGTTAGCACAGTTTGCCATATAATGGAGAAATGCAGATCCAAAATGACATTGGTGGCATTATATGGAGTTTACATGCTAGAGACAATGGTTATGAAAATTGCCTGTTTAACTATTGCTCTGTGGATTCCCCATTGCTCCATTAGTCTCCCTGGTCTGCACAGGTGCAACAACCTTTCTTTGCAGCTTCACTTCCAATGTACTCAAAGTGACCAGTCCAGCGATATTCCTAACTCTGCTTCTGACCTTGGCCTTCATTTCTGGATTATGCTTTTCGGTCACCATTTCATCTCCGTTCAACCTTGGATTCTGGCCAATTATCAACCTGTGCACGGTACTACGATATATAGTGCTTTAGTAAAAAGCATTCCTTTTCTTACAACCTCTTTGGTCTGTTGTAAATTTGTTGTGCAGGCAGATGACGATTTCATATTTAGAACAACTTTTCAGATTAGTTTAACCGTTATATCAGGACTGATTTTGTTATATACTATTAGAAATATATAGAGGATGATTAAATTATTTAAATGTGAACTATCTTCGCTTTAATAAGTTAGTCACATATATTTGGAGAACAACTTAAAGTGTTCATTGTTTGCACATAAATTTGCAGAATAATGCGATTAAGATCTTTTTCATTAATTTTACATGTTTATTTTATAACATTGTTGCTGTTATTTCTGCAAACACAAGTTCAATTAAATTGGAATAATGGAATTAATTTACCAAAAATGTAAATACTGCATGAATATACAGCCTTGTGCTACACAACTAATCCATATTTAATGCTGAATAACCTTTGACTTGGAACGTATCTTGAGTAGAAAACTTCAAAAGCACTTTATTAAAAGAAATCCAATTTAAAGTGATATGCATCATTTAACAATTTCCTGAGCCTTCTATTTAATGATCACATTGATCAATCTCCCTCTCTTCTCCCCTTGTCAGGATGCTCCAAAGTGGAGAGATACTTCAACTGCACATGTGAAATTTGTCAGACAGGCCCAATGCACTTTTCCAACATTCCTAGGGATAGGACAGTGATTGGTTGGATCAGTGTCCCCACCCCCGGAGTTGGTGTGGAAAGCATTAGAAGAAATATAATTTAGATGCTTTTGTAAGCCTGCAAAAAGAATGGTCATATTCAAAGCGAAGGCTTTTGAATAAGACAATTGTCTCAAAGTGATGCATGTCCCCTTAAATAAAATAAATCATATATGATTTAAATGTTTAAACAAATCCATAAAAAAAAAAAAATATATATATATATATATATCTCCACAATGATGTAATCAATATGTTCAAAAAAAGTTATATGTCATGCATACAAAACAGTTATTTTACTTACAGCTTCATCAGAAGCATCTGCTTCAGATAAATGTGAAATAGCCTTTTTTGGAACCACTAAAAAATGTGTCGGAGCCTGTGGGGCAATATCATGGAACGCAATGCACTAGAAGAAAACGAAAAATAAAAAAGGGGGGTGGGGGGGAATATATATATTAATATTACAAGATATACTTAATGTGTAAATTGTATTAAAAACATGTGCATACACAAAACAGCATCTAAGCAATAAAGACATATATTAAAGTGAACCACTTACCTCAGCCTCCACTTTCCCACTGGGATCTCATTATAGAAGTGGGTGTTACACCTCTAACACCCACCTCCAGTCTCCTTCACTATTCTCTTCCCTGATTTGTCCAATGTGGGACACTTCCCCAAGTACAGCAAACCTGCCCCATGACACGGACTTTATTGCCAGCATGTCAGTGGTCCAACATTGCCTAGCAAACGCTAGCTTGGGAGTTACCATAGCAACCACAGTACATGCACTCTGAATGCTCTGCATGGAGAGCAGAAGGATCACCTGTGGTCTCCTTAGCTGTCCATTATCAAATCAACAGAGTCAATGACGAAGAATTGACAGGTCAGAAAAAAAAACATCCCAATCTCTACACTTGCTAGCAAAACTGCTAACACAATGTATACACAAAATGTCATGCTCTAAAATAAAATAAATAATACCCACCCCCCAAAAAAATAAAATAATCTAGAGACGTAGTTGGATCCCATCAACAAACTGTAATGGCATTCTAAAAAAAAAAAAAAAAAAATTCTGAACATATACATTAACAGGACATTTTTCTGACAATACTTATTAAATACATATATAAAAATGAAGACCGTGATTATTTTCTCACAGTGATTGATGAAGACATTTTACTTAATTCTGGCAGATTTTTAAATCAACTAATGTGGCAGAATTTGAGTAAGGAAGAGATGTGTGGAAGTGCACAGGCTAGAAAACAAAAAAAAAATAAAAACAAAAAAAACACACCACACCACAAAGAATGAGCACAGCAATGGAGATTATGAATAAAGATCAGTTTGGGACTTAATCGTGTAATTGAAGTTTTTCAGAATGAAAATGGGTTTCTCACAGCTGTTACTCTAGCCATTTTGTCCACAAGGGCCTTAGATTGTATCGGCGCGTCACAGAGAGATGCTGCAGGAGCTCTAGGTGATCTTGGCAGCCTAGCAATGCCATGTAGGTGAATGCACTTTACCTGCTACTGTGGAAGGAAGGACTTGAACAAACATTGAATGAAGTGTGGGAGCTCCCCCTCATCGACTGCTTCAGCTACTCATCTGAACTTAATATGTTTGCACTTACCAGCATCATCTAAGGCAGAGCTTGACAAATTTGTTTGGAATCCAGGAGCCAGCTAAAAAAGTTTGGAGACAGTCTTTTTGTAAAGAATTGAATTTTTCTCGTTCAAAATTAAACTTTTATTTTTAAAAAGACGCTATAGTCACCAGAACCACTGTAGCTTAATGTAGTTCTGTTGTCTGCAGCATGTCACCACAGTCTTTACAAAAAATAAAAACTACCACCTTTTCTGAGAAAAGACAGTGTTTACTTGGCTGCCTTGGGACACCTCACCCCACTCAGACGGCCACTAGAGGTGATTCCTAGACGGTGAACCTACATTCAATGTCTCCATGCTCTGCATTGAGGCACTGAATATTCCCCATAAAGATGCATCGATGCAATGTATCTATGAGGAGATGCGAATTGGCGTAGCACAGCCTTTTGCTGCACATGCGCAATATCCTTCTAAGCCTTTCATATGGAAAAGGATTGACTTAGCAGAAATCATAAATATTGATGATCTCAGCAACGGCGCCGGGACCAGCCACATCGAAACAGGCACGGCGTGGGGAAAAAAGGCTGAGTAGAAAAACCTTTCCTGTGCGTTAGGAGGGGGGCAGGTGCCTACACAGACACACGCAGAAGCAAATGCAGGCAGACATGCGGACAGAAAGACATTTACTATGACACACATTTTCACATAAAATGAAGATAAAAATGTTAATTTGTGAGTTTATGTCCACCCAGCCTCCCTACATTTGGGAGAGCTGAATGGATCTTTCCCTGTGGTCCAGTGGGGCTGCTCACTTATCTTCCTGCAGTTCCTCTCTTCTCTTTGCAGTGAGGCCATATGTCGGCTCCAAGCATCACTAAACAACATGAAGGAGCAGAGAGGAGCTGCAGGATTACTGCAATCACGCACCGCCTCCTACGCGGGCAAGTGGCCGGCCGTCTCCCATGCTGCCCTCTCCTGCACATGTCGGCTCGGGCTGACAAGCAGAAGGCTACAAGTTAGATATAGTGTGTGTGTATTGTATACAAACACTACATATAGGAGATCAGTATATAGTGTTTGCATACAAACTTTTAGCTTAGGAGGGCTGCCATAGGAGGGGGCAGGCATAGACAGCGAGCTGAGCGGTCAGTCAGCTCGCAAACGCACCTACTGCGCACATGCGCGGTAGAGTGCTCAATTCTTTTATAGATCGGCATTTAATGCTGCTCTATGAAGAACCTGATTCGTGCAGCACGTAGGTGCGCATGTGCACCAGAAAGCAATGACGCTTCTCAAAGAAATGCGTCTGATTGGGCCCTGTTATTTCGTCATTTTGACAAAAAAGGGGGCAAGGCCTGAAGAGGAGCTCAGCGCTGGAACGGAGGAAAATTTTAATTATAAAAAGCACTCAAATTTTTTTATTTGTTTTAATGTCAAACTAATTTAAAAGCAAGAAACATCTAGGGGACCTGTGTTTCTTGCTTCTATATGTAGACTGTAGTGAACCTTTAATGTTATGCAGTTTTAATTTCTACAACAATTCAATTATTTTTAATTGCAAGAATTGATTAGCAAATTTACTCTTATGGCTTGTATCTTGTTTAAACTGTACAGTGGGGATAGATTTAGCATTAGTAGATCACAGCAACCAGATCTATTTTCAGCAGGGGACTGGACTATGCACTCTGCCAAATGCAAATAGCAGAAAGTGCAAATAGACATGACCTTTGCTTACATAGCAAAGCATCAGGTGTCTAAATATGATAGCAACAAATATTATCAAAAAGTTAAAGGGACACTCCAGGCTCCCAGACCATTTTTGCCCATCGGAGTGGTCTGGGTGCCAACTCCCACTATCCTTAACCTTGCAAGTGTAATTATTGCAGTTTTTATAAACTGCAATAATTACCTTGCAGGGTTAACTCCTCCTCTAGTGGCTGTCTACTAGACAGCCACTAGAATGCACTTCCTGGTTCATAGCACAGGTTTTCTGTGCTATAGCATCGCTGGACGTCCTCACGCTATGTCAGCGGGGGAGGAGCATGGGTGGACCCTAAACCACCGCGGTACATTGGCGGTGGTCTCAGGTAAGTCACTGAAGAGGTTTTCACCCCTTCAGCAACATGGGATGGGGAGGGTGGGAGGGAGAGGGTACCTGCAGTGTTTTCCTGGCACTGGAGTGTCCCTTTAATATGCATTTTAAATTATATATTCCATGTGAATATGAAGCAACAGCTATATGTTACAAATATAAAAGTTGAAAAGAATACGGCTGCAAACTTTAGCTGGCTCCTAGATTTCAAGTAAATTTGTCAAGCCCTGCCCTATGCCATCCATCTGTAAGGCAGAGCAACATAGAGTGATGTAAGGGAGCCAATAAAAGAGGAGCTAAGCATAAAATACACTATACTGCAAGGAGTTGGTACTCTTCCCAGCAAAGTACAAGTAGACAGCAATGAAGAAATAAGCTCTTAATTAAAACATAGATTAGTTAGAGGTTTCAAAAAAATCCACAAAATATTTTTCCATTTGAAAAAAAATATATATATATTTTTGTAACAAACTAAAATCTAAATGGTAAAATGTAATCAAAGACCGTGGATCATCAAAAAAAAAAAAAAAAAAGGGGGAAAACGCCACCTCCCATTCATCTGTAGTTCAGGTTTGGCTATTTTACTGTAAATATTGTCATTAGGGCAAACTGATGGGTACAATTTGTTGTTTAGTACATAAGACGCATTATTGCGTTTTGTCCTCAATAATTGGATCTATACATTGGCAAGCAGGGTGTCATTCTATAGCACAATGTATACATGAACTGTCACTCCTGTGGAGTGCCACCATAAGATTTTTGCATGACGGGTGCATCTTAAGCCAATGATGAAGCCACAATTAAGTGACTGCTAAATTCCTGCACAGTAACCAAACATAACATACATTTCTTGTGAAAGTGAAAAAAAAAAAAAAGAGTCTAGCGCCACTTTCCTCCAGTAGTTATGGTTTCCCCTAATGATGTCAGATTAGTTCCCAGCAGGCTCGCCCAATCTTTATTTCACACCCCTGACACAGCACATACTTGTTCGTCCTCATAGAAAATGTTGGCCGGAATTTCCTTTCGGATGATTTTGCCAAAGATCGTGTCCCCCCCAGGGCGGGCAGTCTGGGCTTTGCTGATTTCATCAGCCATGACTGCTGCAGTGAGGCTGCCTACAGCCGATAGAACACCAGGGGGTGTGAATGGAACGTCAGGAAGCACGTGGAACGCGACACCGGAACAGAGAGCACCGCGCTACACACTAGAGACTGATATCGAATGTTGGCTCCAGAGTCAAACGCAACCATTTACCTGGAGATCAACACTATCTGCTAAATCAAGCTGCCTTACGTCACGAAGATCGTTGCTGGATGTACAACTCAATGACGTAGCATCTTAACTTGTATAGAAAAATACTAATGCGCACGCGTGCCAGTAACCCTTTAGTTTGCAGCTTGTCATATTAGAAGGGGCACAATAACTCCCCCCTCCTCAGCCATTATAATAATTATACTACTGGGCTGGATTGCTTGTGCCTGTCTAAATTTGATCCTTTTTAATGTAAAATCTAACATTTAGAGGTCTGCTGAGAGAAGTAAAATCCAGCACGTTGGCCAATGTAAAGATGGCGGTGAATGCTTCAGACTGGCAACGTGACGTAGTTGCAATGGGCGGGGCAACATGTTGGCGTGCACAGCAGTTGGGTAATGACGAGCTGTGAGTGGGCGGGGTTACATGACCTATGGGGGAGTGGAGTGTGTGTATGAGGCATGGAGAGTAGGATGAAGGTGAGTTTGGTGTATCAGTGTGTAGGGGTGTTATATATTATTGTATTTAAATAGCATGGGAAAAGCATAGAGAGATTTAAGTGTCAAGATGTGGTGAATTAATAATTTTATCTGCCTTTAAATGTAACCTCCAACATCTCTTAAACTAGTAGGTTTGGGTTTATGAATGAAAAGTAATTTCAGGAGCAAAGGTGTAAACATGGAGCAATCTCCATGGAAACCGATGTAATATTCCTGGGGTCTGCTCCATTTTAGTGTTGCCCCAGAATGTTTATTTTGTGTCTCTATGAATGCAGCTGTGTATATATATATAACTGTAATCAGATTCCATACACTAAACAGAGAGTGAGTCAAGGTCCAAATTGTAAAATGCATCCTGCTAAAATAGCCAGGTATTTTGACCAAACTCTCTGAATGTTTGTGTGTGTGTGTGTGTGTGTGTGTTTTTTTATTATTTTTTTTTATTTGGTATGGCTATACCATCAAAGTTAAAGGACTACTCCAAACACCAAAAATAATGTAGTAGTTATGGTGCCAGGAGTACCCTCGGGCCCCCCACTCTCCCATTGCTAGTAGTCAAACTGGTTACTTTTACTTTACTTTTTGTCTGCATGGTGCTGCTCCTACCTCCACTACTTCAATGAGAGAGCTGGAAGCGCCTATGTAGAAGCATATTGAAAGGGAAACTATAGGTTTGGAATACAAAATTGTAATCCTAGCCTATATTGCCCATTTCGCTCTGGTGCTGAACTGTGCAAGAGTGTGAGTCGTTGTTTGCCTCATCACTAGGGTATAACTGACTTGCAGAGGACTACATTAACTGCATGTAACCACTTAAAAAGGTAAATATTGCCTGGTCCATTCTATTGGAAGTTCACGATACATATCATTGACGGATGAAGATATGCTGGTAGTTATTTTTTTTTTGTCTGTGGACCTAGGAGCAGGGGGCCTGCCCTGGCACCTGCATTATGCCAAGTGAGCTCCTTTTCACATTATTATTATTATCCACGCATTATTATTGCTGTGATCACAGTGTATATTTGGAGAATCTCTCTGCTAATGTCCACATTGATATCAGAAAGCTAGGACTACTGCTATGGTATAAGGGTAACAGAAGTTTACAGGTGGCTTGGATTAGGGAGCACGAATAACTGGCAAAGACTGTAACTCCTTTGATACACAGACCAATGATGGCTCATTAATCATAAGTCTCTTATCAGACCATCATGACCTAGGACTACCAAACAGTGTGAATTGTTGGCTATGTGTCATTACAGCTTTGGTTAACAGAAAAATGACCCCCAAAATAAGGCTAATAAGATATACTAATACCTTTGGTGTTTACAAAAGATGTTTTTGTGTAGTAAGTTGGGCTCTAAAAATGCACCAGGCCTTTTCTTCAGTAGCACTTAGGTGAAATGCACAACATAATTCCCAGATTTTACTATTAACATGACATAAAGTCATGATTTTATTAAAGACACGGAGGCGAGTAATATGCATTATTCTTTCTTTATTCCCTCAGCAGCAAAGATAGAAGAATATAAATATTATCAAAATGAAAGAAAAAACTGTATAGGCACACTGGCAACCAATCACATAACAGATGAAGTGACTATAAAAGGCCTGTCTCTCCCACAATCCCCCTCTTTCTTGCAAAAACCGAAGACCAGGAAACCTGAAACATCATCACACTTGGCAAGAACAGGAAACTGGAACAAATTGATAGCTTCAAGCTAAAAGAGAGAAAGAAATATGGTAATAACCAAACTCCAAACTGAACACTTACCAAACAAGTATGTCGGTTGCTTCTCAGGAACTTAAACCTATAACATAGAAAATACGATTAACCCCTTTAAGACCTAGGACGGTTCAGGACCGTCCTCGGCATTTTTGCGTTGCCGGCCGAGGACGGTCCTGAATCGTTCTAACGGAAACCGGGCGGCGGGAGCGATCGGAGATCACTTCCGCTGAAATCTCGTTGTTACTATCTGCCCGGCATGGCAGGCAGATAGTAACAGCCAGTTGCGGCGTGTGAGCAATCCGCGATCGCTTACAATTGGCTGGTGTCAAAGTGGGTGTTACAAACACTCACTTTGACACTGATCTCTGCCTCTCTCCCCTCTGTAGCCTTTTGTGAGGCGACAGAGACAGAGATCGTGATATATTGTTGCAGCAGGTGTTCCAGAGAGTTTTTAAAAGTATCACCAGTGAATAGAAATCACCTTTTAACCCTTTCCCTGCCAGATCTGTTACAGACAGTGCATTTGTACTGTCTGTATTTTTTTTTTGCCCTTAAGGGTTATCTTTATTTAAAAAAATCTGTGTCTTAGACTGTTGTAGTCAGTCAGTTTCCTTCCCCCAAATCTCCATTAGATTCTTCTAACAGGAGTTAGTTTAGGGATTACTGTTTTAGTCTGTTTTGTATAAAAAAAAAATATATATGTATATAAACCCCTTAAGGACACGTGACATGTCATGATTCCCTTTTATTCCAGAAGTTTGGTCCTTAAGGGGTTAAAAAAATGTTGTTAAGTATTTTGTTAGTTTAGTCTGTTAGTGTGAAACATACAGCGCATGTACAGCTTGGAGGAGGCATATGCCTTCTTGGCGTCAGACTCTGACGCCACTGACACTGACCCAGGTCAGTTTAGCGGCACGTCTTGTGACATGTCATCTGTGTGTGAGCCAGCTGCTAAAAGAAGCTGTGCTTCCCCTGCTACGCCGAATGTGGAGGAGGACTGGGTACCTCCACAGTCAGCTGAGCCCAACATCCCCCCTTTTAGTGCCAACGCAGGCTTTAATGTGAATGTGGTTGACTTCTCCCCTATACAATATATGAAGTTATTTTTAGGGGATACCATCTGGGAGGAGATTGTTTCCCAGACTAATTTATACGCTAGCCAATTTACTGAGCCCAATCCAGGTAGCTATGCAGTCAGGGAGCATGCTTGGCATCCCACAGATGTCCCTGAACTTAAAAAATTCTGGGCTCTTACAATGCTCATGGGGACAATAAAGAAGCCATCAATCTGCTCTTACTGGAGCACCAACCCAATTTGTTCAACTCCTATATACTCCCAAACAATGCCTAGACCAAGATATGAGCTGCTGCTAAGATACTTACATTTCAACGACAATACCCTCTGTCACCCCAGAGATCACCCCCAATATGATAGGCTTAATAAAATACGCCCACTGGTAGACCATCTTCAGAACAGATTTTCTGAAGTTTATACTCCCCAACAAAATTTATCTATTGATGAATCCCTTATGAAATATAAAGGGAGATTAGGGTTCAAACAGTATATCCCCTCAAAGCGGTCTAGGTATGGCATTAAAGTGTACAAACTGTGCGAGAGCGAAAATGGCTACACATTTGCCTTTCGTGTATATGAGGGGAAAGATGCTCAACTGAACCCTCCTGGCTGTCCTGACTCTCTGGGGACAAGTGGGAAACTTGTTTGGGACCTACTGATCCCCTTGTTCAATAAGGGTTACCACCTTTATGTGGAAAATTTTTACAGCAGTGTCCACTTGTTTAAAATTCTTTATCGTTTGCAGACACTGGCCTGCGGCACTGTAAGAAGAAATGCCAAGGATTTCCCCAGACCTCTCATAGAGGCCAAATTAAAAAAAAAGGTGAATGCAAAGCTCTGCGCAAAGCTGAACTGCTTGCGCTAAAATTTAAGGACAGGAAGGATGTTCACATGCTAACAACCATCCATAACAAAGGCATGTCAGATGTCACTGTCCGAAGCAGGGTACAGACTAAACCTGTTTGCGTCAGGGCTTATAACAGGCACATGGGGGGTGTTGATTTGGCTGATCGGCTGATGCAGCCATTTCTTATCTTAAGAAAGACAAAAGCCTGGTATAAAAAGGTGGCTATCTACCTGTTGCAAGTAGCAACACATAATTCATTTTTACTCTTTAAAAAAATGAATCCAGGAAGAACCACCTATCCCCAATTTCAGCTCAAGCTGATTTCCACAATAATTTATGGAGATGGTCAAGTTCCAACAACGGTGCCAGAGAAGTCCAGACATTTTATTTTTAAGATACCGCCAACTGCAAAAAAAACAAATCCCCTGAAACGTTGCCGGGTCTGTTATAAAAAAGGGAAAAGAACAGACACCTCTTTTCACTGTCCCGATTGCCCTACAAAACCTGGACTGTGTATTGGAGCATGTTTTAAGGTCTACCACACAGAAAATAAATTTTTATAATACTTGTTCCTGATATATTTTTTTTGTTTATTTTGAAAGCAGCAAATTTCTGTTAGTCAGTATCCTTCCCCCAAATCTCCAGATAGATTCTTTTTGCAGGAGTTAGTTTACAGATTGCTGCTTGTGGAAGTTTTTAGTCTCATGTAGTCTGTTTGTTTTTATCAGTTTTAGTCTGTTTTTAGTATAAAATTAAAAAAAATTGTGTGTTAGTAACTCTGTGTTAGTCAGACTCTGACGCCACTGACACTGCGTCCGATTTTGACCCAGGTCAGTTTTCTGACACATCTAGTGACATGTCATCTGTGTGTGAGCCGGCTGCAAAAAGAAGTTGTGCTTTCTCTGCTACACCGAATGTGGAGGAGGAACGGGTTTCTCCACAGTTAGCTGAGCCCAAATTCCCCCCTTTTAGTGCCAACACAGGCATTAATGTCAATGTGGATGACTTCTCCCCTATGCAATATATGGCTATTTTTAGGGGATACCATCTGGGAGGAGATTGCTACCAAATTTATTGATACCAATCCAGATAGCTATGCAGTCCGGGAGGAGTGTGCTTGGCATCCCACAGATGTCGCTGAAAGTAAAAAATTCTGGGCTCTTACAATTCTCATGTGGATTATAAAGAAGCCATCAATTCGCTCTTACTGGAGCACCAACCCAATCTGTTCTAGTCCAGTGTACTCCCAAACCATGTCTAGAACAAGATATGAGCTGCTGCTGAGATACTTACATTTCAATGACAATACGCTCTGGCAGGGTACAGACAAAACCTGTTTGCGTCAGGGCTTATAACAGGCACATGGGGGGGTGTTGATTTGGCTGATCATTTGATGCAGCCATATCTCATCTTAAGAAAGACAAAAGCCTGGTATAAAAAGGTGTCTATCTACCTGATGCAAGTAGCAACACATAATTCATTTTTACTCTTTAAAAATATGAATCCAGAAAGAACCACCTTTCTCCAATTTCAGTTCAAGCTGATTTCCACAATAATTTATAGAGATGGTCAAGTTCCAACAACGGTGCCAGAGGAGTCCAGACATTTTATTTTTAAGATACCGCCAACTGCAAAAAAAACAAATCCCCTGAAACGTTGCCGGGTCTGTTATAAAAAAGGGAAAAGGACAGACACTCCTTTGCACTGTTTTTTTTTCTTTTGAAAGCAGCAAATTTTAGTTAGTCAATTTCCTTCCCCCAAATCTCCAGTTAGATTCTTTTTGCAGAAGTTAGTTTAGAGAATGCTGCTAAAGGTGCGTTTGATACCTGCACATTTGGTTAAAAAAGTTTTATGGCAGTAACATATAACTGGCTGGCCAAAACCAGATGACGTGTGCATAAAAAGCAGAATTCAAAAATTACCACCATGCACGTTCTCTGAAATTTGTTTAGCACAATGGTTGGAGGAAGGATGTGAAAACACCCCAACAATACCCTGGAATGTCTACTTTATACAAATATAAACCTTCATGATGTTAACATTAACTGGGGGATGCAAAAATATGCAAAACTGAAGATAGGCCAAGCATACCTATATATCAAGTTGAAAAACTGATATGTACAAGTCTTGATTGTAGCCTTTTAGCCCCCAAACAGCCCAGCAAACCTATGCATGGGTGATATCACTGTACTCAGGAGATGTTGCTGAACACTTATTGGGGTGTTGTTTGGCAGTGATACATAACAGGATCTGTTAATTCATGCCTAAAGTACAATATATGTGTAAAAAACACGAAAAAAATTACTACCCAAAAGTTTGCCAAAGGCTGGTGGTAGAATTATTGAATGAAAAGTGTTAAACTACCACCATTTAAAATACCCTGAGTTGTCTACTTTTCAAAAATATATGGTTTGATGGGGGTAAAATACATTGGCCCAAATAGGACAGGGGCGCAGGTTTACTACATGTCAAAATTCCAAGTTGGAAAATGGAAATGCGCACCTGCCAAATGTGGCCTTTTAGCCCCCAAACAACCCGACAAGCCTATTCATGAGTGGTATCACTGTACTCAGGAGATGTTGCTGAACACATATTGGGGTGTTGTTTGGCAGTGACACATAACACGATCTGTTAAAGGACCACTATAGTGCCAGGAAAACATACTCGTTAAAACTTACCTTTTTCCAGCACTGGGCGGGGAGCTCTCCGCCTCCGATCCGCCCCGTCGGCTGAATGCGCACGCGCAGCAAGAGCTGCGCGCATATTCAGCCGGTCGCATAGGAAAGCATTATCAATGCTTTCCTATGGACGCTGGCGTGCTCTCACTGTGAAAATCACAGTGAGAATCACGCAAGCACCTCTAGCGGCTGTCAATGAGACAGCCACTAGAGGATTTGGGGGAAGGCTTAACCCATTGATAAACATAGCAGTTTCTCTGAAACTGCTATGTTTATAAAAAAAAATGGGTTAACCCTAGCTGGACCTGGCACCCAGACCACTTCATTAAGCTGAAGTGGTCTGGGTGCCTAGAGTGGTCCTTTAATTCATGCCTAAAGTAAAATGTGTGTGAAAAAAAAACAACCTCTGTTGTTGAAGCCACGTTTGGGTGGACGGCTCCTACTACGCCCGGCCCCTCCAAAAACCTTTAAGCGCAAACACGTGCTTCATATTGGCCCGGGCTTTATCAATGGCCGTAAAGGTTTTAACGTAGGACCCCAGGTCCTTCACGAAGGTATCGCCAAACAACATCCAATCGCTGGATGAACTCGATACCGCCATGGTAGCTAATTTGGGATAAATTTTCAGCAAAATCGCTTTATGTCGTTCTGCTGACATAGCGGTATTCACATTCCCCAAAAGACAAATAGCCCGCTGGACCCATCTTATGGCCACATCTACATCCAGGAAAAGAGGGGGTCAAGGGCTGCACTTAGGTAAAAAAAATTAAAAGTATATAAGATCGTATATTAATAAAATAAACAGCGATAATAAAATCAAATAAAGTTCATCCGGATTTTTGAAAAGTATAAATAAAATAAAAACAGTCTCACTGGTATGCGGTACCACGATATTAATCCTCAAGTATGGCTCCGTCCGTGTAGTAGGTAGTCCATATATGTGAAGATAAAAAACAAAAGAAAAAGCTGCCAATGGTGAAATATTGTATATCCTGATGTGGTATATATTCAAAGGAAATATATTTCACTCACATTTGGTGGAGCTTATTGCCAGCTCTGGGAGAAGAGACACTTAGTGGTTTGATCCCCACTAACGGATATACTTGGATGGTCCGTCTGTCCGGCTTGGAATTCATGTGGTATCGGCTAGGATCTACTTCACATATGCGTTGATTCCTTAATGCTTGGAAGATAGGTCCGCCTTTCCAGTATCGGATAGTAGGTGTCCACGGAGTATATATGAAACACCAAATAGTGCTCTCAGTATGAACAACAAAATAATATCTTTAAGTGAGTTATACTTACAAGAATAGAGCAGATAGGTACTGCTCTATTGCCACAGCGCTGGTGGAATTATCCCCACCTAAGGATTTCTTTGGACGGAATATACTTTCAAGTTAAAAATAAAAAATAATAAAAAAGGGATGACATCTACATTCAGGGCCGAGTCGCCGGCTCTAGCAGCATCCAGAAGCTCATATAGCTTAGACAAAGGGCCCAGGGTATCCAAAATTTTGTCTTGGCACCCTTTTAGGGAAAAATCCAGTCCTTTTTTAGGTTTCCAGCCCGACTTGTTCAAACATTGCGCGGTCTTGGGGTTAATCTCTGGGGTCTTGCAGGCCGTGCCTGGGAGGGAAGGACTGGGGCATTCAGCACGTAGTTTATTGCGGTCCTCCTTAGAAAGGGGGGTGCGCATGCGTCATGCAACATATTGGGCGATATGCCCTGGGGGTTCCCACTCGGCTGACCGGGGTGGCGCAGGTCATCTGGGTTGAACAGGGGGTTGCCCTGCGGATCCAACAGTGCCACACCATCCCCAGTGAGGCCAGACGGAAGACCTCGTGTAGTGGCAGAGGTCCCAGAAGGGGTCACACCCGTATGGGGTAAATCCTCACCCGACTCAACCTTATCGTAAGAGGCGTAGTCCAGCACGTCTGAGTCAGCCTCCACACTCCGGTCGGTATCCGACCCCTCCTCATGTGACCTAGCCCGTTTCCACAGTCTAGCCTTTTTAGACCGGCCAGGGGCTCTTTTGCGCATGGGAGGCGCGCTATCTGTGACCGCCTCAAGCGTGTCCATCATGGCAGGTAGAACCTGCATCGGGGAGTGGGAGTCGACGTGCTTAGCGTTTGCCCGCACCTTATGGGCACCAGGCACGGCAGGGGCAGGCGGGGGGTTCCGGCACCCAGGAAGGCGGGGGCCGCCATAGAAGGTAATAACATGGCTTGCAAGGACTGGGAGAACGATGTGGACACCGCTCAAAGGCCTTCTGTAAGGATGGCATCCAGTAGGGCTTGATATTCTTGGGAGGTTACAGTACCTTCAGAGGCCTGGGTGTAGGCCTCTGCAAGGCCCTCAGGCCCTTCATCCTTATCCTGCATGCTAAAGCCAAATATATATATTTGAACATTAGTGGAAGGGTAAACAGCAGGGTTGAGTAACCACAGTAGTAACAATAAATAATCAGACTGAAGGTGTGCCCAGGGGTACCAGTGGTCAGCAATACCGAGCAGTAGCCTGATCGAGAGCCGCAGGGAGACCGGCCTTGAGTAAGCTCCGCCCAGAAAATGGCCGCCGCACATGGGAGCCGGGCAGAGCCTGATCGCAGGCAGAACACAGGCGGGGGAAGAGGCGCTTACACAGCGCCTGCGCAAGGATGAGCCGCGGTCGGCAGCGAGCCGCGTCAAAGTGGCGTCTGCGGCCCGCGCACTACCCGGTGAGAGAGGCAGACGCCACATGGAGGTAAGGGGAAATCTCTCCGACGGGAAAAACCACACACCCAAAGGAGATCCCCACCAGGTACACCTTGCAGAAATACAACAGAACAACACAACAGTGCTATAAACTAATAAACACAATGCAAATGACCATGATATAGGAATATCAAGGAAAATATTAATCACAATATACTTAGCTGGTCTGAGGGAGCAGCAAAGAAAGAGAGGGATTATGGGAGAGACAGGCCTTTTATAGTCACTTCATCTGTTATGTGATTGGTTGCCAGTGTGCCTATACAGTTTCTTCTTTCATTTTGATATTTATATTCCTCTATCTTTCTTTGCTGCTGAGGGAATAAAGAAAGAGTTATGCATAATAGGAGCCTCCATGTCTTTAATAAAATTACAATGAGTACAATGTACAATACTGTTTTACCCCACTCCCTCTAGCATGTAAGCTAATTGAGCAGGGCCCTCAACCCCTCTGTTCCTGTGTGTTCAACTTGTCTGGTTACAACTACATGTCTGTTTGTCCACCCTTTGTAAAGCACTGTGGAATTTGATGGCGCTATATAAATAACATAATAATAATAATACTGTGAAAGAACTAGGTGGAAAATGACCCCTGAGTAAAGCTGGAAATGGTATGTGCCAAACTGTGGTATGCATTTATGCCGTTTGGGCTGCTAAAATGCCAAATGCAACCCGTTATCAATATTACACGTGTTTTGTTTTAAAATTGTAGTGGTTACGATGTTTGGAGGTGCCTTTTGAGGATTTTTATTTTGTTCTCTAATATGGTTTTAATGTGTTTCTTCTTTGATAGGTACTGAAGCTTTTTAAAACTTTGCACAGGACCAGACAACGTGTGTTTCAAAATGATAGCAGAGCATTGGAAGGTAAATATTTCTGAAAAGTTGGATTTCAAATTGAATATGTTATCTGTGTCCATTAGCATACCCAAAGACTTTAATGATCATTGTGTGGTATATTTATATAGAGGTACGTGTATTTTTTATTTTACAATAACACAGATTTCTACTACCTATCTCTTTTCATTTTGTTTTTCCTTTGCTTTCTCTAGAATTTTCTTTAAATTAGTTTTCTGTTAAATTGAAGTCAAAGTCACATAACAAAAACGTCTGTCTGTTAAGACTGTGTGCTAAGCTCGTTGAAGTCTGTGTGCTTATCCAAAAAGGTGATGCCAAAAACAATCTCTCTCTATTTGATATATATGTAAAAAAAAACAAAAAAAAAGTTTGTTTTTTTGTTTTTGTTTTTTAAGCTGGGAGACAGAAAATCAATGAAGAGTTCAAAAAGAACAAAAGTGAAAGTTCTCCAGTGAAAATATCAGAGGTAATAGACATTTCAGTTTGAAAACCTAGTATAGCCTCCTAGTACAGTATTCTATTACTTAGCTAGCGTGATAATTACTTCGGTATTATTATAAAGTTGCTATCACATTCAGATTTCATTTAGATTTTAAAAATCAACAAAATGATTAAATAGAATGAAGTTATGCAATAACAGTGGACAATGGAATTACTACAGAGATAAGAAATGCATGGGTGTAATGTATTTTGCATGCACATTGGTTCCATTAATGAAAAAAGAATGAAATTGCTAAAACTAGTTCATGATATAAGTCCAGTAAATAGAATTTTAAAAAATGTATCTATAATGCATTAAAAAGTTGGCAAATCCACACTAATCTGTAAAATATAGGATTTGGAAACAGGAATGGTCCACACTCGGTTAAAGCACTTTTATTTTATGTTTTTGTTAATATAGTTAATAAAAATTGGAGCAGACGTGGAACTTCTTCTCAGAACCACTGTTATCCAAGGATTTCACACAGATTCTCACACAATAGGTAAGCACTGTCCTGCTTCCCTGACCTCTACATGCCCAATTTATAATTCTGATATAATTGCAGTAGCGAAGTAGTATGATCCTTTTTTTTTTCTGAATATTTTGTGTCTGGAGCCTATCATATTTATGGCAGTTTATAAAAGTGCTGATTTCAATACAAATTAACACTTTTGTATTTTAGGGACAGAGACAGAAAACCACAGAGGGTTTTCTTTTTTCTTTTTTTTGTCAATCTTTGTTTTATTGAGGTATGGAAAAAAGTGAGTAGTCAGAGTAAGAGTAGAGGCTTTGCTCGAAAGAGCCCGTCTCAGCCCCCCGACCTTCTTCACCTTCCTCTCAATATTAGTGTTGGAAACATGCGCTTCACCAGCTTCGTCCAAAAGCGTTGAAAACTCCTGTTGAGCCATTCAAGTGAACACTCCATCATATTGTAGTGGTCTCCGCAGGGCTGCATGACTAAGTATACTCTGACATTTGAGGCACGTCCATCATCTTGACAGGATCGCCGCCTGTGTTACGTAAACTGCAGGAACCAGCCAAGGTGCGTTCGTCGGACAAGTGGGGACCAGGGTAACCCCCACCAGTCCAAAGGGAGGGGGAAACAGGACCAGGAAGACATTCCTTCAAGGAGCTATACTGAGTCAATCTTTGAGTAAGCAAGGCATCGGCCGTCCGCCTAATCCCTCAGTCGAGTAGGCCGGGTGCTCAATTTCCCAGCTGGTCTGCTCTGTGTCCATATAAGGGTTCTGCAGGCGTAGCAGAGATTATGTAGGGCACAGATGTTGACTTTTAAGAACAAAAAAAGAGTTGAGTTTTTGTTTAGTTTTAGTAAAATAAGAGAAATCAGGCAGGAGCCTGTCAGACATGCGGCTAGCCAACTCGGCGGTCCGGCCCTGCCCTCGGGTTTTCTGTCTTTTCCATTTCCATGGAGCTAACAGAATTCAGCAGTCACACTGTGCCTTCCCCCATTCCCAATGAGCTGTTTTACAAACTTGTGGCTCCAATACAGAGGCTCCTCAATATTCACCCTGTAATTGGAGCATTCCCATGTACAGAGAGAGAGCCTGTACTGGGGAAAAATATATTCTGCCAGACCAATGAAAGGAAAACCCATATTTCATTTTGTGTATAGCTATATACCACAGTCAAGCCTTTGGCTAATTTCCAAGTTGCCTGGCGGGTAATCTGTTTCAGAGACTTTAAATACTATCTTTTAACTAGATTTCTTGACAAACCCGAAGGATCTAACAAATCAAATTCTTTTTCATCTACGCCCGAATAAATCAAGCCATCTGAGATTTACCTGTTTAGTCATTGAATATATGTAAATCCCAGACGGATTGATTCGTTTGAGCGTAGATTAAAAGGGATTTTGATTAGTTTGACCCACCTGAAAAACATTTGTGCACATGTCTACTTTTTCTTATGGTAGTGCAAATACTGCCTCACACCAAAACAAAAACTGCCTGTAAAGTACTGATCTGTTGTGACAATCAGGTTTGATGTATTGCGTTTTGCTCTCTATTGCACGTCTATTCTTCTAACAGACTACCATTTCTCTTACAGTTTTACAACCAAGAGAAGAAGTTATGTTAGACAATGCACCATATTGTGATGGCCCCAAAAAATAAGACTTCAGGATCTTTTTTAAATATATTTTTATTCAATTTTATATATCCCATTGGTTTTTAGTGTGTTTTTTGTTTTATCTATTTTAATTTTATTTTTTTGTAAAACGGTTCAATGGTTCACATCTTTATAATTTAAAGATTGGAAATTCTGTCACAGTCTACATTAATTAAATCTCCATTCTCTGTTTGGAATACACATGGTTTATTTGGCTCTTCCGTGCCATTTACCTGTTTCTTGAGCAACTGCCTGTTTTGCCTATTGCAAAAATTCAGCTACTGTGAGTCAACAATTAGGCTATCGTTGTATTTAAATATCTGTGTCTTCAAAAACTGCTGGCTTGCTTTTTTTCCTTTAATTTCTAAACTATAATTTTAAGCTGTTATTAAATTTATTTTTCTTAAAGTTTGTTTCTTACTTTTTTCTGACTCTCCTTTATATGCATATATGGAGCTGAGAGGGTTATGTGATGATTGTACCCTCAGTAAAGGGATACTAAGCTTTAGTCTAATAAAGCAATGTTGGTGTATAATACATTACACTATATTTAGAATTATTTTAGATTAGTTTATCAGTTATATCAGAACAGATTTTTGTTATAGACCATTTAGGAATATATATAGATGTTGATTACATTATTCCACTGTTTACTATTTACATTTTACTATGTTGATTACTCATGTTTGGAGAACAACATAAATTCATTAATGTGTGTACATAGAGTTGCAGAATAAAAAGGAGTTTTTTTCTGTTTGTTCATTTTATAACATTTATACTGTGTAAAAAGTGCATAAAATCACTTCAGACCCAAGTACAATTAACTTGGATTAATGGGATTAATTTACCATAACATTTATATATTGTATTAATATACAGCCTGCTGCATAACTAAGCAAATGTCATACTGACTACATGTCTGTACTATAATGTATCTTAAATAGTAAACTATCTTTCAATAGATTTATTCTACTTGGTCTTTCATCCATCTATTTGGGTAAAGTGTGTGTGTGTGTTTGGTCTGATAAACCCCCTATAGTCCATTGCTTACAATGTTTTGAATACCGTTGGTTGTTGTTTTAATTCCTTTTGAGAAGGTTACTAAAAATGGCAGGTTACACCCTGTTTTACTCACCGCAAAATAACGAGCACTCACAAAATATTTCAACTCTTGAATCGGGATCCATATAGAACAGCTTTTATTATAAAAATAAATACATGCATCACTTTCATGGGGAGGGGACAAGAAAGACAGATGACAAAGTCCAAACGTATCATGTGGATTACCAAACCTAATCATGGTTGTAAACTGCAATGTGCAATCCCCATTCGTAGCCCAAACTCAGTTGCAACTGTCAGAAGATACACTTCCCACTTAGCCCGTAAAATTTAAATTATAAAAACATAGAAAATCAAACCCTAAACTACATTGCAGATATATAACAGATTTTTCAAATCTAAAATTGAAGTATGAACATCTAAATTGACATTTGACCAGCTATACACGAAGAGGCCACAGCGTCAGATTATTACCCTCAGATATTTAAAGAACAAAAAGGACAAACCTTAGGCTTTATTATATCATGTATCAGTATATTGACACTGTCATTGCAAGATGTAAATAATATATATTGGCGCAATTTTATATTCATAATTAAAGGACACTCCGGGCACCAATATAGCTTTAAAAAGAGGTAAAAGTGCACTCAGTAATACCAAAGAAAGGGGTTACCTGTATAATCTACAATTGAACTGGCTCAATATATTGTGAGTGGTTTCAACCTTTAATTACCCACTATCTACATTGTTTTCAGATTACACTATGTTGTGTTTGTTTTATTGTATCTTTATATAGATTTTATCTACTATATCTGTTCAAGTATATACCAAGATGATCTACTGCAGGTTATCATAATTGTATATTATACAGGTAACCCCTTTCTTTGGTATCATTGAGTGCGCTTTTACCTCTTTTTACACTATATTCTGGTTCTTTTTAAGTATATGTGGTGACAATATACTTTGGGATTTTAGTTGCACCGCTTTTCCTTTTAGCGCCATCTATATTCATTTTAAACACCAATATAGCTTTAATGCATTTGACAGATTTTGGCCTCATTAATATGCTGTATTTTTATTTATTTTTTTACCCACGCCTCTCCTGCAATAAGGCTTCCTTATCAAAGGTATGCACAAGGAAGTCTTTCTGACAATCTTTTTCTGGAGTGAGGGGTGTGGCTAAAGAGTCAGGTTCATGATGCAGCCTTCTGAAGAATATTTATTTTATGCAAAAACTATAAAAATTCAAGCATAAAAAAAACAAAAGTATATTAATGAGGTCAAAACCCTAACACACACACACAGCACCCTAACACCAGCACCCTAACACACACACAGCACCCTAACACTCACACAGCACCCTAACACCAGCACTCTGTTAAATGCATTAAAGTAGTATCACGGCCAGAGTGTCCCTTTAATTACCAAGGCAAAACGCTTAGAATGTCTTTTACATCAGTAACACCTATTTGATAAACAGGAGTTTAGATGGACAAACATATAAAATCTTTAATTTAATCCCATGTGCTCTCAGATTGTTAAAGAGGCAGTGTGTCAAAACTATGCAACATGAAAAAAGAAACAAAATCGGGTATATGTGCGAAGAAATAAAACAAAAATTATCTCAAATGTTCATAAATGTAAAGTCAATACAAAAAATGAATGTCAAAAATGAATGAATCACTAAAATTCTAGTTCACACACAGATTTACCCCTGAAGCTATACAATTATAAAATACATAAATGGAATTAACACCAATATTGTACCATCAGGAGGCTTTACACCCTAAAGGACAGCGGGTGTTCTATGACGTCGGCGGTCGTGATCTGGGGGGCTCCCTGGGAGCCCAGACAGCCCCCTTCTGCACGATCCGGCCCTCCAGGGCCATGTGATCGCGGGGTCCTTGCGATCACATGGCTTGAATAGCCGGCTCATGCAGTGCCAGCAGGGGGACTGCCTGAGCTCTCAGGCTGTCCCTCTGCTGCCTGTAAAAAGGTTTTAACAGTTTTAAAAAGTAAATGAAAGTACTTAGATCATATGTATATACATATACTTTTATATGCACATACACACACAAACTATTCTAAGTGTATTTTAATATTTATATATTAATATTAAAATACACTTATAATGACATATATATATATATATATATATATACGTATATATAATTGTAAATATATATATAAAAAATAAATAAAAATTGTATACCTGTATACTTTCGCTCTAACTGTATTTTGATATTGATATACATATATATTTAAATCAAAATACATTTAGAATGACGTTATAAATACATATATGTATATGTAAAAATATCTATATATAAATAAATATATATATATTTAAATTCTACATATATATTTATATATTTTTACATGATTGTCATTTCATTAATTACTATTTGAGGGACTTGCCTGACAACCCAGGCAGAAAGTCCAGAGAATATGGTTCACAAGCCCTATATTTAACCCTGTAACTTTCCAAGACACCATAAAACCTGTACATGGGGGGTACTTTTTTACTCAGGAGACTTCGCTGAACACAAATAATACTGTTTCAAAACCGTAAAACATATCACAACAATGATATTGTCTGTGAAAGTGAATTTTTTTGCATTTTTCACACACAAATGGCACTTTCTCTGACTATATAATTGTTGTCTAATATTTATGTTCAGCGAAGTCTCTTGAGTATAACAGTACCCTCCATGTACAGGTTTTATGGTGTTTTCAAAAGTTACACAGTGTAATATAAGACTTGCATTTCCATTTTTTTCACATTTAAATACGCCAGACTGGTTATGTTGCCTTTGAGACCATATGGTAGCCCAGGAATGAGAATTACCCCCATGATGGCATACCATTTGCAAAACTAGACAACCCAAGGTATTGCAAATGGGGTATGTTCAGTCTTTTTTGGTAGCCAATTAGTCACAAACACTGGTCAAAATTTGTTAAAATCAGTTTTTTGTATTTTTCACACAAATACGAATTAGAATGCTAACTTTGGCCAGTGTTTGTGAGCAAGTGGATACTAAAAAAGACTGAACATACCCCATTTGTAATACCTTAGGTTGTCTACTTTTGAGAATTGTATGCCATCATGGGGGTAATTTTCATTCCTGGGCTACCATACGGTCTCAAAGGCAACATAACCAGTCTGGCAAATTTCAATGTGTATAGACTAAAAATTGTATTGTGCTAAATGTGACCCTGTAACTTTCCAAAACACTATCAAACCTGTACTTGGGGGGAGGGGAGGGTGGTGCTATTTTACTTGTGAGACTTCACTGAATACAAATATGTCCATGTTATTGTAGTAACAGCTAACAGTATTATGACATTCACAGTTAAAATGCCACACAGAACTAAAAAAATTTACAAATCTTAATTTTTCACAATTTATTCATATAAAATTATGTTTCTCCTGAACAAAATTATATATAATAAGTGTGGGTGCATTTAATATGAAATATGTGAATTATGCCTGAACAGACATATAGCGCAAATTCAAGGTTTTGTTTACGCTTTGTTCACGTTTTATTCTGATCACAACTTGTACAACTGGCTCAGTCCTTAAGGGGTTAAAGCACAAAATAAGGAACACCCCACTCCAAGTTTAGGCCAAAATACCTCCTACTATGTAAATAATAAATCAACTTTACTGCCTGATAGTCAAACCTGCACAAATTACCACCACCGCTAGACAATGGTTAATGGTACTGGATGCTTGATAATTAAATAGGGTAATTAAAGAACTAAAAATGACACCATCACTACCAAAGGAATGTGCCTGGTGATAGTATTATTTTTTTATATCTGCTTCCAACTTGCCATAATATGTTAGTTACCAAAACAAACTTGTTTTATATTGATGTTGGCGTTGCGTAGTATTGTTTGTTAATCTGTACAATGTTACAATAAGAGTGTCAATATGTGTATTTCTGAAAATGGAAGTCTCTACAAAATAAGGTTTAACCCCTTAAGGACACATGACATGTGTGACATGTCATGATTCCCTTTTATTCCAGAAGTTTGGTCCTTAAGGGGTTAAAGGATCACTAAAGGGTCAGGAACACAAACATGTATTCCTGACCCTATAGTGTTAACACCACAATCTAGCCCTCCTGGGCCCCTCATGCCTCCCTAAATATAGCAAAATCTTACTGTATTCAAGCCTGGAGCTGTAACTCTGTATGCTGTTTGCCTCCAAAAAACAAGCAGTCTACAGACATCATCAGAAGTGGTGGCTTGATCTAATCACAATGCTTCCCCATTGGATTGGCTGAGACTGACAAAGAGGCAGATCAGGGGCAGAGCCAGCATGATTCAAACACAGCCCTGGCCAATCGGCATCTCCTCATAGAGATGAATTGAATGAATGAATCTCTATGAGTAAAGTTCAGTGTGTGCATGCAGAGGGAGGAGACACTGAATGTTTGGATGCATTTTAGGCAGCCATGACCCAGGAAGGATCTCTAACAGCCATCTGAGGAGTGGTCAGCGAAGTTATCACTAGGCTGTAATGTAAACACTGCATTTTCTCTAAAAAGACAGTGTTTACAGCAAAAAGCCTGAAGGTAATGATTCTACTCACCAGAACAAATTCAATAAGCTGTAGTTGTTCTGGTGACTATAGTGTGCCTTTAAGGGGGGAAAAAAAGAAAACAATTTAGAGAAGAAGCCAACTCCACATTTGTGTAAAAATGGTTTTACTGACTTGTACAAAAGACATTTACAGTATTTCCATTTTGGAACTCTTGCAAACCAGAAATAATAAAGCTATTTAAATATAATCTTCATAATCAAACCTAAAAAGATTTAGTATACAGTATTGTGTATTGTATGTGCTTGCACTACTGACCAATGTAGCTCTAAATAAACACACACATATGCCAAGAAGATAACAATACAATACAGCATAGGTTAATATATTAAAGGATCATTCCCTTTTTCTATTAAAGGATCATTCCCTTTTTCTATTATTTGTGTGTATTTTACTACATCCCTTGGCACAAGTTCCTGCCTGGCAAGTCTTTTTCGGTGTCATCTGAATGATTTAAGAAAAACTCTGTGGCAAGCGTTCGTGTCATGACTTTTAACACAAAGAATGAAACCACTAGCTCCATAGAGAGGAAAACAGTGTAAATTGCATGAACAGCATACTCCAGTGGTAGAATTAAGACTTCTTCATCTGTTAAAAGGAAGAGAATAAGAGGTGTCTGTATCATGAAGGTCAAAAGTAGAAATGCTGCCAGCTCTGGTACCTGAAACAAAAAAAGATATTACTGTTTGTTATAGTATGTTTGTTAGCTTTGATTTATTTATGAATCCACCTTGTCTAACTTGATTAATAAACTGACTCTATTAACATATAAGGTACACAATTCTGATATTCACAGAATGAATATTACAGAAAGATAAGAGGGAATAAGACAGAATAGATACAATCAATGAATAAATTAGCTCTAAAACTGGAAAAAGAGGAAATTCACCAAATCCTATAAAAATAAGAATAGTACACCATAAAATATAGTGTGGGTATCCAGGAGCTATAAATTGGATGTGAAATGAGATACAGATAATGAAAATTGATGTTGAATGAAATTCAGATAGTGGACAATAAATAAGTAAATGAGAATAATATTCAGAATAATATGTATGTTGCTATTGATAAAATGTCCATAGTTGAAAAGTCCAGAATAAAATACAAAACCGAAATTGCAGAACGTGGGATATACAATCAGTCCCAAGGGATCTATGAGTCCTCGATTTATATGATAAATAACCTTAGCCCTGCTTGTGACTCTATTAACATACCCAGCCTAGCAAAGGTTTACTGTATATAAGTGTCATTATATACACTGTGTGTGTGAAAACAACTCTTTGGAAAGTATGACTTGCCCCTCTGACACATTTTTACAGCATACCACACACTAAATAGAGAATTGTGCAATGTGCAAATTGTTATAGCTGTGTTATGATTGATATCCATTTACGGCGCAGTTTCACTCATTCTAAATGACAAGGTCATGGTTTTTGGGGGATAAATTGCTAATCAGATAAACTAACTGCTGGACAAGGATTTATGGGATAAAAGTCTGTTCCTGTCTGGGGGGAGCAGGTCTGGCTATACTTGCAGTCATACCCACTAAACACCACTTTTAGGGAAAGTGTAAAGGTGAGTACTGTTTTTTTTCATCACCTATAGAAAGAAAAACTTTACAGCTATATAAACATCTATGAAATATTTAATCATGATAAATGTGTAAAAGTTAACATAAACGTATAAATTATGTTAAAATGCTACTTTGTTTAGAATACTTTAAAAGGCAAGACTTGCCACATACAAAGTTTGAATGATTGAAATAAAAATGTTCTATAAACCTTTCACAGTATCCTAAATGGTACCAAGCATAATTCGAAAGTTATCTAAAAAAAACTCCACAAGGAATAATTATTAGTAAGAATGCAATGAAAGTATCAAGGAAATATACTAAGTAAACTGATAAGAATATGTATAAATTAAACTCCTCCTATCTGTAATACCCCAAAATAATGGTATAAAAATCTGCCTGACTTGTAAAAGTATCCAAATAAAGTGCAAAGAATATTGTACCAAAAAATTAATAACAGTGGATGGCTTAATGCCAAAGTATCAAATGGATACAAGATTGCAAAGTATAGAAAGATAGAAAATAGAAAGATTTGTCCAGGGACGGCTGTTCCCTATCATCGCCCTGGCCAAAAAGGCTTCATAGTAAATATATTGCTATTTATTTGCCAGACGACCTGAGCATAAAAAGAAAGGGCACATAAAGGAGAAAAAAGTGAGGTACATGCAATCAACACATGTTTCACCCACTACACCAGGATCATCAGGAGTGCCAAAGATTGTTTCTCTGGATGGACTTTATATAGCCTGCCTCACTTCCTGATTGGTGCCTGCAGCATGATCAACTAAACAAAATGTAAATATAGGCGCCGCTCAGAAAGCTGATCAGTGAATCTATATGAAACAACTTGCCACATCTGATAAATCAAAAGACCCGTGCCAGAGTAGAATAGATGGACCTAATACACGTCATCAATTTTCCACATCCATACCTCGCCGCCTCAGTCCTTACACATTCTATAAAAAGATGAGATTTGCATAACTAGGACTACAACAGTCTAATCTGTATTCACTCAAACCCTGTGGCTTTGTTGTCTCATTACTTGAATTTGCCTTGGGGCATAATTATTTCTCATTTAATGGCAGGGTCTATCTGTAGACTAGAGGTACAGCCAGGGCCGCCACCCTAACAAAGCACACGGTCTGGGCCCCCACCCGGTCCGCCCCACTCCTACCTAGTCCGCTGACAATGATGCAGGACTGAATGTGGTGTGTATAGTGGAAGTGAATTAGAATGTGTGTAATGGATGTAGTGTTTGGGTGTATTAGATACTGTTTGTGCAGTGAATGCAGAGTGTGTATTTGTGTAGCAGATGCAGTGTGTATAGTGAACGCAGAGTGTGTTTGAGTAGTGGATGTAGTGTGTATTTGTGTAGTGGATGTAGAGTTTCTGTGTACTAGATGCAATGTGTTTAGTGGATGCAGTGTCTGTAGTGGATGTAATGTGTGTATTAGACGCAGTGTCTCTGTATAGTGAATGCAGAGTGTTTGAATGTGTGGTGGATGTAGTGTGTGTATTGTGAATACAGGATGTTTGTGTAGTGGATGCTGTGTGTATAGTTAATGCAGAGAGTGTGTTAGTGTAGTGAATGCAGAGTGGGTGTTAGTGTAATGAATGCAGAGTGTGTGTCAATGTAGTGAATGCAGAGTGTGTGTCAGTGTAGTGAATGCAGAATGTGTGTCAGTGTAGTGAATGCAGAGTGTGTGTTAGTGTAGTGAAAGTGAATGCAGAGTGTCTATCTGTAGACTAGAGGTACAGCCAGGGCCGCCACCAGAAATGTTGGGGCCCCTGACAAAGCACAATGTCTGTGCCCCCACCCAGTCCGCCCCACTCCTACCTAGTCCACTGACAATGATGCAGGACTGAATGTGGTGTGTATAGTGGAAGTGAATTAGAATGTGAGTAATGGATGTAGTGTTTGGGTGTATTAGATACTGTTTGTGCAGTTAATGCAGAGTGTGTGTTAGTGCAGTGAATGCAGAGTGTGTGTCAGTGTAATGAATACAGAGTATGTGTTAGTGTAATGAATGCAGAGT